CCGCAGCTGACTTACGACTAAATTCATTTCGTGCGTCACAGCAACAAGAGGTCGGATTTATCTGTGTTATCTAACAACGGCTTGTTTACTACAGTGGTCATTCACTCACGCTCGGTATTAGGGAACGGCTATACAAAGTAAAGTAGAATTGATTGTGTAGGAAGCGACCAAGTACTTTCCAGGCATTCGTCGCAAGTAGGTGTTCCCAAACTTACCATCGTCCGGTATTCTAGAAACTAGAAAACAACAATTTGAAGACTAGATCTGTTTCCGTCCTCAGGTGAGGGAGGGAAGACACCTGCTGAGTTGGTCCCTTAGAAAGGGATAACCTCAATACCACGAATATTAAACGAAACATTTTAAGAATTCTGAATGAAATGAGAGTGGAATTCAGTCAACAGTTACACCTCGTAACTTTCACAATGAATACGTATAACAGAAAGGTTCTGCTAGGCAAAGCATATGTTTATATGTACATAAATGTACGACCTTGACTTTGAAGATGGAAGCAGGCCACTTGAAATATTTGCGCGGACTACTGATGGTCCGCGGATCGTGAATTTGTGAACTCTGATCTGAAGAGACAGAGGAGAAGTATAAAAAGAAAACTGTTATCAGAAACCTGTTCGCTTGATACATGCTCGATTGGGATGCCTCTAGACTGCAAGTCAGTCATGCTTCCGCTACGTTAATCGGCTCCGTGAAGGCGGACTGTTAATATCAAACAGGGAGTGAAGTTTGATATTATGAAGAAATCATAAAAATCTCTTCCTCTCTTTATACATCATTCCACGAAGACACGGCAAGCGGAAATAAAGCAGCATTCTTTCTAAACTTCGAGCTTAGATTGAATTGTGTAGTCGATTTCACGCCCCTGCCGTTTTCCACTCCAAGATCCCGAAGCACCCTTTGGATAGGGAGACTTGTGAACACAAGGGCGGAGAGAAATATCCCTACTCTTGTTTTGTCAGGAAGCGAACCAACGCTATCCAGCATTTATTAAGGAAATTCTCCACGTCGTCCACTCCGGCTATGGGGCCCATCCAGTCTCCTATATGGGTACCGGGAGCTCATTCCCCGAAGGTAAAGCGGCCGGGGTGTGAAGCTGACCACTCACCTCCAACCAGTGCCGAGGTCAAGAAAACGTGGATCTATATATCCACTCCCCCATACGCCTTCATGGGACAACGTTTACATGTTGACTTAACATTGCAATAAAACACATTTGTCGTCTTGCTTAATACCTATATCAAAGTGTGATAAAGCAGTTGCTGGAAGTTTATCGGCCTCTATTGACACACTCCATGCGCAATAAAATTTACATTAAGATGTCTGATAATGGATGATACAGTGTTAACATTTTCGTGTTGTATCAGATTATCGGAAATGGTGAACTTCCATTACATACATACATACATAGGTACATCAACAGACTACGAGAACTGCAGTTTGAGTGAGCGGTGTCAGAAGTCAGGAACTGGAATAAAATAACTAATAGCTACTGTATCTGTAATTCATGAAATTAGTTGCACAGTGCGACCATAACCTCTCTAGATTGCCCAGATGTAGGTAGAGAAGCGTAGCATGAAGCACAGCGGGGGGCGAGTGTGCGGTGCTGGCACGGCGCGGCAGAGTGAGAGAACTATCGACAAGAGGAAGGATCGACTAGGACGGGGAACTACGGGAGGATCGATTAGGGTAGAACTATCGACACATGGGGAGTATCGACTACAAGTACGAGCAGCAGTTTGTGCCTTATATACCAGTTTTCCCCGTCCTATTATCCGTTACCTGTGTTTTTTTTTGCTAGTGGGGTGGGACTAAGTCCCTTGCACTGTGGCCAATTCTGGCCTATTGTACCAGCCCCAGGTGAGGGTGATTGTGGAGCAATTGGTGGAATGAAGATTGGCAGAGTAAACCGAAGTACTCGGAGAAAACCTGCTCCAGCGCCACTTTGTCCACCACAAATCCCACTTGACCAGACCCGGGATCGAATACCTGTAGTTTAGTTCGCTGTAGTTCTGAACTAAAGGTACACCGGGAGGTCTAAGGGTCCTCTCTCGGGAAATTTTTAAAAACTAAATATGCGCATGTAGCCATTTGAGCACAAACTGTCATATGAGATGGAATACCAAGGCTGAATTTATGTATCATTGCAATTTGATCTCTGGTAATCATATTTTACTGAAGAGTACAAATATCATGCAATTTTCTCTATTCCCCAATTACTTCACTTTTCTAGGGATCAAATATTCTCCACTTGTGAAGAGGAAATGCCCCTCTAAGTCGGTTAAGAATGTGTGGAGATTAGACTCACGTCCCTTCAGAAAATTTGCAAAGATAATTGTTAAAAACAGTGAAATAATCACAAGTGCAGTTATAGCTGCATGGCTACACTGACTTGCACATTACCTTCCACAACCAATACATAGCAATTTAGTGTAACGTGCCAAGGTGTTAAGTACCTCACACATTATGCTCTACTTCACACCTCCTCATTAAGGTTGCAGCAACGAAAAATCTCCCTACCTCCAGCTCAAGGGCAGCTGAGCTGCTGTTAAATTACTGCGCATGACAAACTGTGGTTTCCAGCCAGGTACACGGTCCTGTGTCACGGATGAAGGAAATTACCTGCAGCAAGTCGTTTTGAGGTGTGATTTGCAAGAAATACTCACGTGAACGCATAATGAGAGGTTATGTATGTCTTAATCCTTACGTTACGTAATTCAAACCACGTATGGGATACTAATAAACTGTGCCAAGGTTAAAAATGTGTTCCCTCTTTTCTTCAGGTTTTCATACTGTGATTCTGTATGCATTTTTCACTCCACTAATTCTTGCTACATTTTCGCTTATCTCATTCTCAATCTTATCATTATCTTCATATTTTTTGATGAAGCTTATTATAAATTATTAAATGCCTTCTTATGCGGTTTTCCAGGTCACTACTACTTTCATCCTCTTAGATCCAGATGTTCTCCCTCGACGTTTGTTCTCAAACATTCTCAGTCTGTGTTCTTCCTTCAGTATCAAGTCACGGTGTCATATCCGCGTAACACAACGTGACTATAGTCAATGTGCAGTGTGGACCTGAGGTTCTCACAGCGGTGGTTATGAAGAGATATGTCTACTGAGATATAGCACCGTGTAGGATCTGAGGTTATCACAGCGGTGGTTATGAAGAGATATGTCTACTGAGATATAGCGCTGTGTAGGATCTGAGGTTCTCACAGCGGTGGTTATGAAGAGCTATGTCTACTGAGATATAGCGCTGTGTAGGATCTGAGGTTCACACAGCGGTGGTTATGAAGAGATATGTCTACTGAGATACAGCGCCGTGTAGGATCTGAGGTTCTCAGAGCGGTGGTTATGAAGAGATATGTCTACTGAGATACAATCCTGTGTACATAGATATTTTAGAAACACTACTGAAAGAAGAGATGAAAATGTTTACAGGGGTGATCAGTCCATTGCAACACCTCTCCCCTCACAGAATACAGAAGGAAAAAGAAGAGGACACATATCTAAGCCCCGAATCTGATTCGAACTCGCGAACGTCGATAGCCTAAGATATTACAAAGGGCTTTCTTTAGGTTGAATTTGTTACAAACGAAAGTGAAGTAAAGAAAACCTGTCTTATACGTCCGGACTCTGAAGAATTCTATGCTGAGGAAAAGTAAAAGGTATAATTGTTTCTGTGCTTTATCAATTAAGCACTATGCCAAGAAAACATACAAGGGAGGGGGAAGTAGAAATACAGCCCCACCTTCCTTGACCTCGGCCCTTGATAAAAGTGAGTAGTCAACTTCATGCCCTTTAGGCCTTAACCCGGTAACCATTAGATAGAAGGCTCGATGGTCTGGACGTTGTGGAGAGGAGAAAAATCTTGCACTGCCGGGAATCGAATCCGGTCTTTGCAGTCCGTAGCCCGTCGCTATACTGACTGAGCTATGTCGACCGGTCCAAATTAAGTGAAACTGTCTTTACATTTTTCCTGTCATTCCCAATCCAACCAGAATATTTCATGCAAATTACTACATTGATTTTAATTAACCAACGATCAAAATAACGACTGCCGAGACGTGTAACTAACTCCCAGAGCAACTAAATAGCCGATTCGATTAGTAAATACACCATTAACTAAAACAGTTCACTAACTACGTAATGAGGTAAGCTAACTAATTCACTAGTTAACTATTCAAGCATCTGATGAAGTAGTCACTATATGTTCACTATATTGACTACAGGCTTAGCTTTTTTTAGTTTCTTGGGGTTGGGTGAGACTGAGTCCACTTAGTACGTCGACCACTAATTGGCCTATCGTACCAACTCCAGATGATAGACGATGAATGTAGAGAAGTAGGTGGAACGAGAACTGGCAGGGGAAACCGAAGTACTTGGAGAAAACCTGCGCCAGCGCCACTTTTTTCACCACAAATCCCACATGATCCGACCTGGGCTCGAACCCAGGCCGCCGCGAAAGGAAGCCGGCGACTAACCGCCTGAACTATGGGACGGCCCAGACTAGCGGCCTCACTCATTAAGCAGTTAAGTAAACAAGTAACATATTTATTAGCCAGCTAAGTAGCTATCTACCTTATCTAACCATGTAATTAAGTCACTGCCTAACTATTTTTGTTTTACTGGCTCTACAGTTCTCTTGGGCCTCTGATTTTCAGTTCCTTAATCATTTTCCACAGACGGTAGAATTCCTTGGATTCGTGATCAGCTCGTCGCAAGACCTCTACATAAACACAGAACACAAACACAGAATAAACGCATACACACATGCCTTGTGTGGGATTCGAATCCACGATCGCGGCTTCCGAAGGAGCGAAGAAAGTACATTCCTTAGACCGCTCGGTTACCGTGACCGGAGCCTAATTAATTAACTGACTAAATAACTGTCCAACTAGCTAACTAAATCACAAACTATGTAATGAAGAAGCAACCACTTCCTGCCCCTGGACCAACTGAACGACCTCAACAGACGAACCTACCTCAATGGAGCGATCAAGAGGTCCAAGCGCTTCTGCTTGTGTTGATGCAGGTACCATTTCAGGCGCTGCGGAAGTGTCGTTCACCCGGTTGTAAGACTCCATGTCAAGACTTTCGCCGTAACACGGACAAATCTTCCTTAGAACAGAATTCTTCGGTCTCATTCTGGTATTAACGTTTCGAATCAACTGGCACTTCAGCCATCAGCTTCTACTCTCTTATTAAACCTCTTCCCCTACTTGTCTGCTACGTAATTATCTTTCACTTCTCTCTCCTTTCAACTACCTGCATTTCTCTATCTTGTATCCCTCTCCTACACGTAGCGCCGCCACAACTAACAGTACTCTTTCATATTTCGTGCGTATTCCAAGGTCCCTACAGCAGCTACGTGTGTAATGCGCCTACCGTGTTTTCGGAAGGTTCCTGGCTACCTCTGGGACGGGCCGGGCCATCACTCTGTTTCTTTGTGGGACTTTTGGTTCCTTCAAACAGAATTTCTTTAAAGGGACAATGGCTGCCCCCCCCCTTTTCATTTCCATTTCCAATTAAATTTAACTATTACAACACTCGCAGCTAAGAAGGGAACACACATCACAAGACGCGGTTTACACAGAAAATAAGAAAAACGACCCCGTAGTGAACGAACCACATACAAGTTTTAATTAAGACAAATAAGATGAATTATCTTAACAAGTTTTAGCGAGTGTAAATTTATCATAGTTGACAAACACGGACTTTTTGTTGGATGTAAACATATGAAGGCAGGCAATGCAATAGATTGACGTAGTTGGGACACCTGATGATGGCACTGTGTTGCCGAAACATGTTGTGAAGTGACAGGTGAAATTGTGTGCACTAAAAGACGACCACTGTATACATATAACGGATGAAAATCAGTGCAACAGGACGCTAAAATATAACAAAATTTAACTATGGTAGCAGCACCCGAATTCAGCATCGTTATCATAACAATACTTAAACTAAATTTGATCCATTTATTAAAGTGCTTGACAACAGCTAAAAGACATTTGCAGAAGTATGCAGAGGATGTGAACAGACTTGGCCAAAGAATGGAAAATGCAAAAAGAAGAAACACTAAAAACTAAATAAAATACCACGTACAATATATACCGTTAGGACAATGAAAAAAAACTTAAATATGATTACTAGTGTTATTAACAGATTTAATGGGGGACGCAGTAGCGTAGTTTGTTGAGGCTCTATGCTAGAAGCCGGAGGGTCTCGGGTTCGAGTCCCGATGAGGTCATTGGATTTTTCAATTTTCCTAATCCTTCCAGAAGCACTATGGTCCTGGGGTCGACTCATCCTCTAACAGAAATGAGTAACAGGAATCTTTCTGGAGGGTAAAGGGCGGCCAGCGCGTAAGGCTGACAACCTCACCGCCCTCTGTGAGCCGAAAGTCTAGAATATGTGGGAGCCTCGACGTCTCACAACCCTATGGGCCTCCACGGCCTCCTACAGGAATTCTTTTATTGCTAGTGGGGTGGGACTAAGTCCCTTGTACTGCGGCCACTTCTGGCCTATTGTACCAGGCCCAGATTGGAGGGTAAAGGGCGGCCAGCGCGTAAGGCTGACAACCTCACCGCCCTCTGTGAGCCGAAAGTCTAGAATATGTGGGAGCCTCGACGTCTCACAACCCTATGGGCCTCCACGGCCTCCTACAGGGATTCTTTTATTGCTAGTGGGGTGGGACTAAGTCCCTTGTACTGCGGCCACTTCTGGCCTATTGTACCAGGCCCAGATGATAGGTGAGGGTGACTGTGGAGAAATTGGTGGAATGAAGATTGGCAGGGGAAACCGAAGTACTCGGAGAAAACCTGCCCCAGTGCCACTTTGTCCACCACAAATTTCACTTGACCAGACCCGTACGGGGATAGTTTTACCTTTATTGACAGATTTAATAATATCAGTTAAAGAAAAGAGCTCCATTATAAATGTCAGTATCTATGTAGACATATGCCACAGAAGCACATTCTGCTTGTAACAATAGCCGTAGTAATAGTAATCCAAATTATGTTGCCGGACGTTTTAACGATCCATTTCCTTGTCGTCACGAACTTCCTCGTTATGTAATACGACCATTCTAAAGTGGTCATTTTATTGCATAGCATTCCAACCAGTCGTACGTAAGAGAGGTACAATACAGGTAAGTTTCACTTTGTGCGTAGTAAAGCATCACGCATTCTTGAACTGGGCATGGGATGGAGTTTAGTAGTTAGATGCACGCTCTAGTCGCTTTAACCCTCACCCTGTGAATGAGCCCCCGGTACCCACTGGATAGGAGGCCGACTCCGGAGAAGGGTTTGCTTTCGGTGATGAAGAAGAATATTCCTACCACCTTCCGGGAATCGAAATCCGGTCTTCCAACCGGTAGACCATCGCCATACAGACTGACATATTTTGGCCCCTACATAAGCACATATTAATTTCATTCAACACAAAATAACATCAACAGCTAATATAGAATTCCAAAGACAAACTACGAGCTCCGAGAACATGTTCGAGTAAATAGGAGTCTTCGAGAAAGGAATACAGCAATATAAATAAGTCGATTTCAGTGACCATGCAGTTTAAAGAGTGCATTATTCTAGATTTCCCGCAAATTTGAGACCCAGATTCGAATCTCACCATCGATACGAATGTTTCTCCACCTCTGTTTGTGTCGTGATGTTACAGACGTTGTCTTTGATTTATCCCCGTTCATGGAGACCTACCGCGCGTCTAGTAACTTCCTGGTCTCAGAAATAAACCCGTTCTTGCGCGGAACAAATGGTCTAATTTCTGTTGGTAGAAGATGAATTCATTAACATTAGTAACCCNGCAACCCCCCTCCATTCCACAAACAATTCTTATTCCAGTTTCACCAGCCTTCTTTGCTGTGTGACACCGCTTCCTCAATCTCTTTGAGATCTTAAGAAAATAATTTACACGTTCTCACAAACTGAATTTATTTGATCATTTGCCATGGAAATATAAATAAGAATAAAGCAATTTCTTAAAAAAAAAAAGACATTGGAGTGAAATGATTAACATATTTTAACGCCAGCTATGTTGGATGCATCAAGAATGTTACGACGATGCCTGTGTTCGCAGTTCCTCGGAGAACAATAATTGGACATTTGAAAATGTGCTACTTGCAAGTTGTTCTGTACAAGAGACCATATTAACAAGAGGAATATGAAGGGAATGAACTATGGGTTGATTGATGACGATATTGCTGCACTTACAAGCGTAAGGCATGAATACGAAATGGCAGAATGTACAACTTCTAAGAAACAACTAACTAGACTAACTTCATGGACCTGAGCCCGTCTTGAGAAGTCGTCAATTGTGCAGCTACTCAAGAACTTACCAGCATTTTGCGGAACCTTAAGTTTCATCGCCATGTTCACAACAACCCTCCACTGGTCACTATCCTTAACCAGACCGATCCAGTCCATACCACTCCATCCCATCTCTCTAAGATCCATTTTCACATTTTACACCCACCTACGTCTTGGTCTTCCTAATGGTCTTTTTCATTATGGCTTTCCCTCCAATATCATATATGCATTCCTCTTCTCCCCCATTCTTTCCACATGCCCTGCCCATCTCATCCTTGACTTGATCATTCTAATTATGTTAGGTGAGGAGTGCAAGTTATGAAGATCCTCATTATGCACTTTTCTCCAATCTCCCGTCACTTCACCTCTCTTCGGTCCAGATATTCTTCTTAACGCCCTTTTCTCAAACACCCTCAGTCTATGTTCCTCCCTTAATGTCAGAGACCAAGTTTCACACCCATACAGAACCACAGGCAAAATTATAGTTCTGTATATTCTAATTTTTATGTTTTTGGACAGCAGACGAGAAGACAAAAGGTTCTGGGCTGAATGGTAGCAAGCGTTACCCGAGTTCAATCGCCTCTTAATTTCCTATCGTTGTTCCCAAATATCTGAACTGTACAAAATTTTCAGGACATCTGTTAGCTCTCTTTATGTCATGATTTTGCTCTGCATTTCGGTGACGGGACAGCAACGTATACTTAGTTTTCCTTTGTGTTTACTTCTAAACCAACCTCCTTACTAGTGCAAATTAAAGTTTGTGTGTTTTTCTTTATAGTATCTACATTATCACCCAGTATATTCACATCATCAGCACAGACCACCAGCTGATATGTCCCGTTTATATTCAGTTTCACCTGGTTTTCCTGGGCCTTCCTAATGGCACATTCTGAAGCAAAGTTTACATTTCAGGCTATAAACTGATCATCATCCATACTGAGTACCGTGTGCGTATACATATATGCAGGGAATATTCAGACTAACTGTACAGGGTTGAGTGTATCAGCATCTTAAAAGTAATAATAATAAAAAGATTTTTTTTCCCTTGGCACTACAGCCCCAGTGAGCCTAGGCCTACCTCCATGAACTTCTCCGTTCACTTCGGTTTTTCTAGATCTTACACGTTCGGTAGGACTCCTTGGGCGGGTGATCAGCTCGTCGCAAGGCCTCTACCTGTACACAAACACAGAAAAACGCACACAAACATCCATGCCCTGAGTGGGATTCGAACCCACGATCCCCGTTTCCAAGCGAGCGAAGACAGTACATACCTTAGACCGCTGGGCTACCGTGACCGGCAATAAAGAGATTAACATGAATTTTTTTATCTAAGACTTCATTGTTTGTTTACAAATTAAATCGGCATTTTCCTCCAAGCTGACATAAATTATCTTCCTTTACTTTTCCAAACAATATAAATCGTATGTTTCATAATTTGATTATTACGCGGCAAACTTTGAAAATTAAATTTTCCCTGTATCCTGGTTATCACAATGAATCTGTCCCCGAAGTGACTGTCTCTTATTAAAGCTGGTAGGTTCACCGAGAGATCGAACTCTGACGTTATCATTTGTGAAATATTTTCATAATGTAACAATGACTGAAAAAAGACACAGCTCTATCAGTGAATTGGACAGATATCAGCTGAAATGTTGCGAAATTGGTGATAAGACATACGAATACGTCTAACTTTTCTTTCATAAAAAAATGGAAGGTGGCGACATAGGTAGAGGTTGAGATAGAGGCAGAGATAGAGAGAGGGAGGCGTGACATCCTTGTGTATTTATAAATCCGTTACGTCGTACTCACAAGTTCTAGTGAATTAACTGGACTGGATTTTCAGTA